CTCTCCCCTACTGTGTTTCATGCACTAGTTTCGTTTGACTGATACCTCACCTCACTGACGAATGAGGCAAGACAGGAACAGAGTTGTTGTATGGAATATATTTATAGTAGCTTTCTATTCATGTTTTAATCTCAAAACATTTATGTCAAAATCGCTGGCGGAATAATGTGGTTTTTAGTGATTTAAATGACGATTTACGGTGAGGTGTAATAGCCGGAAATACTAGCCTAAGAAATTGCATATATCTCCCATCACTTGTGAAATTTTTATAATCTATACATATTTACCACTTAATTCTAAACATACAAATAAATTTATGTCAAATATTATATATTGTGCTATTAAAATTTATAATTTCTTTGAGTAATTTGTATTTACGTGAATATTTTTAAGACCTTGATAAACAAAGTACAAGTAAACAGTTGATTTCCTTAGCTACACGTAGCAGACATTAAGATATGATAGTAAGCGCATAATTCTATGTATTATTTAGACCTTCATAATTATTAGATATCTGCAAACTACTTTATATGTATATATAACTCTGATTTTAGCAACATTTAAATTGCTGATATTTACATTTTTTTTCTCTTTACGTGATAAATATGCATATCATTTATTTGAGGAATTTTTTATGAAATAATATTGTTTAAATAATTTCTGTCATAATTATAAATTTAATAAAATTGTATAAATAATGACATTTTCAGAGAAATAAACTTTGGATAAGTATTAACTTCACTAATGGCAGAAGAGGAAGAAAACGTGATATCTCTTTTAGGTAAGAAATATCTTTGATTCATATTTTAATGTTATAAATACTTAAATTTAATTCTCTACTAATGATTGCTTTGTACAATGTAATTAGAAAAAGATGGCACTGATACTTTCCAATCAAAGAGTCCTGTCAAAGAATCTTGTGCATCGGAAGAACCAACTCCAGATGTCTCAATTTCCTTGTTAGACATACAAATACCAGGAACACCAGAAAGTACCAAAGATCAAATAAGTGATGGCGATACACCGAGATTGGAAAGTCCAAAAACGGTGAAACCAGTACTTGGAAAAGTCCAAGCTAAAAAACGATTAATGGCATTTGCCAATCAATTTAAAACACCACCCAAATCCCAAGTTAAATCAAACTTATCACAGCATTCTACTGGAGTTTTAAAAGCAAAAGATAAAATAGCGCAAGATGATACAAGTACAATTAAATCAAGAAAAAAGACAGGTGATATTTTTAAATATATATATTTTGTTATATAATATAAAATTATTCCAAATATAAATGTTTCAAAATTATTATATTTACTATAAAGTTGCAAGCTAATGTATCTTTGATAAATTTAAAATTAAATTTTTTTAGTAAAATTATTTAAAACCATAAATTATCATAGCCATTACATTTTTATCAGAAAGAATCTTATACTGTAATTTTTTTAACAGTTTGAATGTGAAAAGCAATTGCAAAAATGCAATAAAAATGCAGAAAAAAAAATGTTACCCTGTTTTCTGTACTTATTTCTAATCATAATTAAAGAAATTATTTCTAATTTTGTAGAAGAAAAAATTCTGGCTATTGAAGAAATTCGAAGAGAGGAATCTAAAAGTAAAATGTTACTGGCAGAAGCTATGGCAGCAGGTATTATCTCTATATAATCATAATTGTAATATCAAACTTTTAATGATAAAAATTTGTTATAGCAAATACAGAAGACGAAAATTACATTGGCAAGAATACATCCGGTTTATTGGAAAATACAAGACGTAGGAAAGAGAGAAATAAACATGAAGGAACAAATGATTCTCGTAAAATTAGAGCATCAATGCATCGAAAATATTCAGAAAGGTACAAAAATAGTAGTATTTTTAATGATACATATTTTTCCTAATTTGTATGCATATGTAATATATATTTTCTAAATACTCTTCTTTTATGCGTTAAGAATTTAATGATAATTTTCAAGGCAACGACATGCTGACAAGACTGGCAGAGACAGCATAAATCAGGAAGTAAAAGATCGAAATGCAAGTACAGAACAGTTTCCACAGAAATCATCTCAGGATAGAGAAAAACATAAAAAATATAATAAAAAGAAAGATGATATAAATAGACGAGATAATAGTAAGACGGATGTAAATCGCGACAAGAAAGAAGAAGGAAAGGATAAAAAAGAAAATGAGAAGGAGAAACGGGAAGAGACGAGAGAAAGAAAAGAAGAATCCAAGAGAAAGAAAGAAAATGTAAAAGACAGGCGTAATGATATGTTAGAAATGGAACCAGATAAGGATAAAAAAGATAAAGATAAAGATAGGTTAAAGGAAAAGGAATTATTGAAATATAACTCTTGGCCGGAATTACGAAAATCTGGTTTAACCTTCGACGAAGTTATTCGTCTTAAAAGACGCGATAATTCAGAACGAACATTAAAAAATAGGTATAGTATATTTTTACCAATTTTAAGAATAAAATTTCAGAGATTTATACATGAGTATATATATATATATGTATGTATGGATGTGTGTTAATGTATTGCAGAACAGCACAAGATTATACGCGTTGCTTCGAACAGATGTTAATGTTAAACAATTATCGCTTTAAACGTCAAGCATTGATAGCTGAGGGTCTTTTGGGGCCTAAAAAGTATCCACCTGAATCGATTAAGATGACAAAACGAGCAAAGGGACCACAATTATTGTATTGTGAAAATCCGAGTACGTCTCTTTTATTGCACGTCTCACAACTTTTACAAGTTGTCACGCCTGAACGTCGTGAGAAGATACGAGACATTTGCGAAGCGCCTTCACCACGGTATATCACAATGTCTATAATGTTCTTTCCTGTATCACAATGTTCACAATTTTTTCTTTATCTATTTAGATCTTCATAATTACAGGATTGATAGAGAAGATGCAGAAGACACAGTGCTGCAGAAGCGTAATTGGTATCAGCAAATAATTTCGACTAATCATAAAGATACTAAATGGCAGGTGCCTGTACAACTTCCTAGATCAAGGTGGGACAGTGAAGATGAGGAAACATCTTCCATCTTGATGAAAGAAGACATTAAAAAACCAATAAATAAACTACATGTTTCCCTGAATCAACGTAAGTGACTTTTGATAATAATAATAAATAAAAATAATACAGTTACAATAAAAAGGATTTAAAGAGCCAGAACGCAGGATGAACGTGCGCTTAAATTAATACAATCAGATTAAAATCTCAATATTTTATTCAAATGTTTCGGTTGTAACATATACAAACACAGAGCTAAATAAACAAAGTGATGTGGAACAGCTTTCTGACACGTATCTGCCAGTCCTCAATATGTTACTCTCTCTTTAATTTCTTCTTGACATTCTTCTTTTGCTAGGTCTATTTTTCTTTCAATTTATTGTTATTTTAGTTTAATTAGTGCTTTAACTTTAGTCCTTAATGGTTGTTAAGATACAGATCTCTGAAAGATTGAAAAATAGTTAAAAACGGAGTTCAGTTGACGCATACATAGCTTGTGACATAATAATTTAGGTACGCTTATCATTTTTTATTTTTTTATTTATTTTTATTATAAATATTTCGGAACTTTCGAATTATGAATGTGGTTTTATAATTTGAATAATTTGAGGAAATTCTTAGACCAAAGACAAAAATGTTTGCACTGACAATTTACGAAATTTTAGAAGAAATTGCATGCGATTGTTTAATTGTAATATCACTAAAGATAAGACCAATAGCTGAAACGTTTGAATGAAATATATTATGAGATTTTAATCTGATTGTTTTAAGTGCACGTCCATCCTGCGTTCTGGCTCTTTAAGACGTAACTATTTTGAACAATTTAAAAACTTTTATTCATTTTTAATTGGTTTAAAAATAATGCATATGAATGTTCGAATCCTAAGAGTAATAATTTATTTTTTGTTTTAACAGAAGAGAGATGCTCTACATCTTCTCCGATAACTGAGGAAGATAAACTGGATAATAAGACGGAAGACATTAAGGAAGATAATGAATCCAGCGTAAAAACAATTGATAATACGACAACAAATGATGAAGCTTCGAAGTCTCCTTTGCTGCAACCTGCTGGAAATGAAAAACTAGCTTCAGAATATGAACAATTCATGAAAATGGTATGCACTGACGATATGCCTCTGCCGGTTGTAACAGATGTAGCTAAAGAATGTTCTCCAAAGAAAAATCTTATTAAATCTGCTTCCCCACGTAGCTATCATGAATTCAATATAGAATCTAATTTATCAGAAGATAACACAAACATTGAAATACAGTTGAAAAAGTTAGAAAAGAAGGATAAATTGCAAACCCGAGAAGGATCGATCAAGAGTACAGAATGTGAGGAATCCATTTTATCCACGGACTCTCAAATACAGATCGATGCGAATAATATGCAAGTTGAATATAGCAACAACGGCGAATCTGAAGACTCCAAATCGGTACCGAGTGATTGGGAAAATGTCAGAATCAAGGTTGAACGATTGAGTGACGAGAACATCGAATCTAGGGAAGTAAAGAAAAAGAAGAAGCGTAAGAAAGTAGTATCCAGCAGTGATTCGTCCAGTAGTGCCAGCTCTTCCGACTCGGAAAAAGAAAAGAAAAGGAAGAAGCGCAAACGGAAGGCATTGAGCGACTCGTCTTCTTCAGACTCCGACAGCTCGGACAGTAGCAGTAGCAGTAGCACTAGCGATTCCAGTTCCGATGAAAGAAGAAAAAGAAAGCGGAAGAAAAAAAAGGTAGGGAAGAAAAGAAAAAAGGCGAAACGCACAAAGGCGCGAATGAAGAAAAAGCGGAGGAGAAAGATGAGCACTGATTCCAGCAGCAGTGATTCGGATGAACATACAAAAAAGAAGAAAAGACTCAAAAAGAAGGCAAAAGAAGCTAAACAGTTTGATGTGAAATCTATTAATAACGGAGATATAAGCAAGATAATATCCAAGTCTCCCATAATAGCTTCGTCTCTAGACGAGGCGAGCTTGCAGTCTATGTCTCCCAAGAAGATTAAGGAAGAGATAGCAGTTGAAGATGCAAAGAGGAAAAGCATCGGTGTACGTGACAATGAATGCGTGAAACGGAAAGAAGACAGAAAAGAAAGCAAGTCCGACAAAAGCTTCATGGAGCAATGGGAAGTGGATTCTACGAGTGCAGCGCAACAAAACGACGGCGATAGATCGAGTCAAGACAACTCTGAAGAATTGGGGAAGATGGATGGTTCACAGAAAGATAAATATCGTAGGAAACGGAAGCACAGTCGAGATAATGTTGAGCAAGACGAAGATAAATCTAAAGTCGACGAAGAAGGAGGGCATGGAGGGAAGGAAAGATCAGATGAGGAACTCGAAACAAAAAGAAAGAAAAGAAGGGAGAAGGATATCAAAAGCGCTACTGAATTTCTCACAGACTGGGAAAGGGAAAGTGAGCGTATTACTCAACAAATGATGCAAAACGAAGCTAAGCTTTCGAAAAAATTGGGAAAACAAAAGAAGGAAAAGTGGGGAGAAACAGATTTTGACTCGCTGAACGTGCCGTCTTTGACCCAACTGGAAAAGGAAGTGTGTCGAAAACAAATTCTGGCGGATGAATGGGAAGTGGATAGCTTGGAAGCAATACCAGATCTGACTCCGAGCAAGCGAAAAAACAATCAGGGTGCATCGAAAAAAGTAGAGAAGCAAGTTAGATATGATAAGAAAACGGATACTTACATTGCGATAGAAAAAGAAAGTGCCAGAGAAATCAAAAAGAGGCAAGAACGCTTGTGCGCGATAAGAATATGGGAGGAGGAGCAAGAGGAAGGTGAGAAAGAAGAAATGATGCTCTTGGAACAAAAGAGTAAGCATAAAAGGGATGATTGGGATATAGAAGAGGAACCGTTTCTACGCAAGAGTAATGAAGAAATAGAAATCTGTAAGGTTGACGATATTGTTGGAATCGAGGAAGATGCAAGTGTCAAGGAAAACTCGAGTAAGTTAATGATGGCGCTTGAGTCGACTGGTTCTAAACGAGTTAGAAAAAGTCGTTGGGACATGGGCTCGCAATCAGAAGAGAAATTGGAAAATAAAGACATATGGGAGGAGGAATATACCGAATGGTCCAAGATTGATAAGTGCGAGCCGAAACTCGAGAAAACGGAAAAAGGGGAGTCTCGCACTGCGGATTATTCAGAGAGCTCTGCTAAATCAAATTTGATAGACTTCTATCATAGAAAATCACAGAGTAGAGAATCACTGGACAGATCGTGGACATCGGAAGAGATGGCGAGTAGATCTACACAGGCGAAAAAAGTAGAGGACGCATCAGGGAAAAATTTAATTTCTGTAAAGACAAATGAAGAGCAGATTACACTCACCAAGGAGCATCAAGCAAGAGATAAATTTAAAGAAATTTTGGGATTGGATACAAAGTTTAAGGAGAAAACCGTAGAATTGTACAGTCCAAGCTCTCCAGCGCTCTCTCAAAAATCTCAGGTAAATATTTTATTTGTACGTAAGTCCAAATAAAAATATACTAGCCTGGAATCTGATGGAAATTCTCAGTAAATCTTATCGAGAAGATCATGTCGGTGATTTCAATGGAATCTTTCGAACTAATATCTTTTTAAAATATTAATATAATTATTGCATGTAGTAGCTTTTTCTCTATTTAAATAATTATTTCTTTTCTTTTAGGATATAGAAGCATCTAATGACAGTAGCTCTTCTAATTCTTTGCTTCACGAGAAGAGGAAGAAAGAAATATCGATTACAACAAAAGAGCTGCCGACGGAAAGTATACCTTTACAACTAACAACAAAATTACGTGATACTAAACATGCGGCAAACGAAAAGATTGAAGATATTATCGAGAAAGTACAACTGGAAGATAAAGACTCTGTCCATAAATTCGACATTAAAAAAGCAGATTTATTCGACGACTTACCAATGAATGAACCATGCTTGGATCCACATGGATCTAAGTCGGTGCACTTGGACATTTTTGCAGCGATGGAATCAGAGAAGTTGCTTCTCAAACAGCGTCCTACGAGTTCTAACGTACCTTTGACAGAGCATACAAAGGATGACGAAAATGAAGGAAAGATGACACTTAAACTCATTCCTAAGCAGCTCTTGATGCGACGTGCCAGTGAACAAGTAAAACCGAAACGTATCTTAGAAGCGCCGTTACAAGATCCTGCCCAACATGCAGCGGCTCTATTGACAATACAAAAGAAGCTGTTGGAATCGCACGCATTGAAGAATGATATTAAAGAATTACCAATTGAAAAGCCCATAAATGAATTTAAATCGAAGTATAGCGCAGGGAGGAGCGATACCGATAAATTGTTAGATTTGACTGAATTTGCCGTGGCTCCCAAATCGTCGATAATGACGACGCGACAATCAAGATCTCCGGCATCGGAGAAAGCAGTCTCCGTTCGATCTGAATATTCTGAAAATTATGACAAGGAGAGCACAAGTGACGGTACAAAAAAATACAAGACTGGTCGAAATTTAAACGATACCAATATGACACCGGACGTACGATCTCCGGTTAGAGAGCAAAGAAAGAGAAGTCCCAGTAAAAAGGAGAGCGAAAAACGATACTCGCATGATTATAATAAAGACAAGAAGGAAAGGAAGTTTAACGATGAAAAGTCGGACAGAAGAGACAGCAGAAGTTCCAAGTCGGACTTTACAGACAGCCGAAGAAGGTTAAGTCCATCAGGGCGCGGAAGGAGAAGGAGAAGCAGAAGTCCATACACTTCCTGGGAACGGCAAGGTAGCGGAAGCCCCGGTCAAAGCTGGAGCAGAAGTCACAGTAGAAGTCCGAAGAGAAAAGACGAAGGTACAATCGGTATGCGAGACAGAGAGAAAAAGAGAGATAGATACGACGATGATCGACCAAGTAGATCGAGAGCGGACGAAAGAAGAGAGAGATTTACGCGATCTCCACCACGTTACAATGATGGTAAAAAAAACAGCTACAGCAATTATTTCTGTTTCATTTTAATCTAATTAATTATTAAATATTATTATTATTCATTTACAGATAACTTTAAAAAACACGGTCCAGCATCATCTAAAGGTAATCGTGACGATTGGAATAGAAGGAGACATGACAGCATGGATAGAGATCGTGAGAAAGATGTTAGGCCGTATGATCCGATGGAGATGTTGAGAGAAAGAACGACAGAGTCTGAGAAATATAGAGATAATAGGTATTAAAATATTTATTTGAATATTTTCACACATTTTTGTTGTATCCAATATTCACAAATTTTGTTTGTGTTATAAACATACAAAATGCATTACTTTTTGATTCCTTATCACTTATGTCACGATAGGTTAGAACCATATATTTTTAATGAATATGTGTCTAGATTCCACCCAGAAGAAGCGGATAATGCATTTTGGCAGTATGAGAACAGCAATATTTTACGAGATAACAACGAATCTATGGATTCTTATGTTGTTGGACAAGATTTGCCGCTGGAGTATGACAATCGACCGTATTACGGAGAGGGAAGTCTAGAGAGAGATATGATACAATGTTCACCTCAATTAATGTCAAGATACGGAAGAAGGTATTCACAATTTGTTGCATCTACATGTACTAAAGTGAATTAAAGCATGTAACATGACAAGATATCTATCTATTAGTCAAAACAGGTCTGTTGTAAGAAGAGAACGACAATGGGAGAAAGATAGAGATTCCTCGGATCTAGATCGTCACGGTCATCTTACGCATAGATCACGAAATCGGACACCACCGCGATCGAGGCATTCACCTACGCGACAAGCTCTGGAACGATTCCGGCGGAAATCCAGATCTCGCTCAAGATCATGGTCGCAATCCCGATCGCGAACGCGTTCCAGATCAAGATCAGGCTCACGTTCCAGATCGGCCTCAAGATCAAGGCCAAGAATGATGAGATCGCGATCGCGATCGAGAAGTAGATCTCCATCGGATCCCAGATCGAGAGCGAGATCAACCTCTAGATCAAGATTGAGAAGTCCGGAGCACGGATTGAGATTATCTGAACTGCGATCTTCCAGGTAAAATCCGAGTCGATTTATGTGTGTTTCGATGTCTGTTGTTTGGGGTAAATAGTTAATTCTGAATATAGATCTCCCTCACCCGGAAGGAGTAGACTGAACGAAATAGGAAGGGAAAGGAAGGACGAAGACGAAAATAGAAAGCTTAGTGTCTGTGGTGAAAGGGGTAGACGTATAGAAACTATTGTTCAAACTGGGGTTACATCAGGATCGAGTATCTTAGACTCGGAGATGGGGATTAATAACATGGATACAGCTGTTGCGAGCTTCCAATATTCAAATGAGATTGAGGGTGGAAATGAATATTATTACACAGAGAATAATTTGACTTATCCTCCTTGTATAGATGAATCAACGAGCTCTCCGAAACGTTTATCGCTCGATGATAGGTAAGAGCTTTTGCCAAGTCCTTCCTAACCCGTTCCCCTGCACATTCTTTGGAAAGAGACACCGCTTTTGTGTTATTTCTTGCAGCATTTATTTTTGTAATTTGTAATTTTAATATTATCCAAAACAGACTCCGTATACATCATTGAATATATTGTTTACAGGCTAGAATTAGAATTAGGTATTAAGAAACAACACAGCAAGGACTCAGAATATTCTTCTAACTTCAACCCCAACGTTATCGCGTATCCGTCTCCTCCTCCGCAGCAGCAACAGCAAATGATGTACAGACAGCAGCCTACCGTTCTACAAGTACGTCGACTTACTGTTATACGTTCCTTATTATTTAGCGAAAAGAACAAATTTATGAACACTATATTGTATTGTTAAGGTTGGAAATGTCCTGCAAGTGGTTCCTGCTGATTTTAACGGAGTACAATCAACGCGTCGAGAAGTGCCTGCAGCCACGACTCCACCTGTGCGGCCTGGATCTAATCAAGTGGTTCGCGTAGGTAATGTTCTCCAAGTAGTACCTACATCGTTAGACTGGAGCCAATCGTCATCGTCTGCGGATCAATCAAGCGGGGTTTTGTACTCTTCCTCGACAGTTTCTGCACCTTCGCCTTCGACGTCTTCGGTACCTATATCCGTGCCTGTTCCTGTCCCGGTTCCATTGCCCGTACCACCTGCCGCGGCGACGAATACCATTGCCCCTGTCGCGACGATGTCACCTGCCACTCCACTGCCACTCTCATTACCAGTACCTGTTCCCGTGCCAGTTCCGATCCCTTCCGCGACAGCAACAGCATTCGCGAGAAATGAAGTTCAACCGCCAAGTACGTACATAAATCTAAGCTGCTCTCTGTCTGAAAATTGCGCGCAAAATTCAACAAACAAATTTCCTCTCTTTGCAGAAGTAATTCAACCTGTATACAATTACGAAGCTATACTCGAAACACGCCGCAAGGAGCGAGAGGAACGTAAAAGATTGCGCGAGTTACGCCGAAAAGAAAAGGAACGCAAAAAGATAGAACGGACCAATCGACGAGCTTTGCGACTGCTGGAGAAGAACAGCATGCTTGCACGACAAACAGGTGAGGCCTCGCTGGATCATCACAAGGGCTCCGTCGTTGATCCGGCAGTTCTGAAAGCGCTTCGAGAGGGAGAAGAACAGAGCGAGATTGGATCTCCATCGGCTAATCTTGTAAAAGAGGAAGAGGAGGCAGCGGCGTCCGTAAAAGAGGAAGACGAGGACGCTGTTGTAGACGAAGACGAAGATGATGACGAAGAGGAGGCCGAGGCCGAAGCCGAAGCTGAGGTGGAAGATGACGAGGAGGAGGAGGAAGAAGCGGAGGACGAGGATGAGGACGATGACGACGAAGATGAGAAACCGCCGCAAATAATCAGTCAGCAAATTGAAATTGACGATGCAACAACGGCAGATGCTGATGCAAGTACAAGTCAAGGAGAAATTGAAATGAAGAAAGAATGGCCAGAGTTACCACCTCCGCCGTTAAAAGGCATTTTAGTTGCACCAGGTTTTAGGTTTGTTCTCGATATTTGTAAAACATCTGATCTCACAGAATATGAATTCTGATTCTGTTATTTTATTCCGTTAAAATTCAACATATGATCTTTAGATTGCAATGCATCACTAATCACATGGATTTTTCTTTCAGAAGGGATGAAATTCCTAATGGCGATTTATTGGACGACTTATTGGATATCGATGACAACACTAAAGATGACACGGATAAAGAGGAAGACACAGATAAGAATAATGAATGCGAGAAGGATGCAGGGTCTGATGTCAAACCCGATAAATCAAAATTATCGAAGCTGAGGAAGGCAAGGAGAAGCAAAAAGTCAGTCCAGTTCGCTGATGGTGTAAGACCCGGTGAGGGGACGAGTCCCAGTGGTGGCGAAGGCGACATGCCTTCACCGCCGCCTCCCACGGGAATAAGTTTGCGCGAAGGACTCAAAGATTTAAGAAGAGACAAGATTTACAGCTCTCGAAAGAATAGAAAGCAAGAGAAGAGGGTAAGACCGCCAAAAACGAAGAAGAAAGTCAAGGTAAATACAATTATTATTTTATTTCTAGTTTCAAGAAAATACATACTTAAAAATTTATATATTTTTATAGGTAAAAATAATCAAGCTGAAAAAACCGCGCGTTACTCCGTTAACGGCCATGATGATGGACGATTCTGACGAGTTGGACGATCGTTCACCACCTCCGCCGCCGCCTGGCTCGCCACCGCCACCGCATCTCTGGCCCAGCTACCTCTCGGCTTACAACACAACTATTCGAACAGTCGAAAGTGCGCCGCAGACCGCGACTTCCACTTTAACACCTGTGCAAGCTCCACCGCCGCCTACTCCATTGCCTCTTCTGATCCCGCCTCCTCCTCTAAACTATACTATCCAACCTTGCAGTAAAGCTTAAATTAAATAGCTACGTAGATTTTACGCATTGTTTGGAGCGAACAATTTTTCCTTTTTACAAAATGATGTATGTAGATCCAATGATAGTATTGGTTTTATAAAAATGATAGCTGTGTACATTAATCTTCAAGTTAAAATTTGAATAATAATAATATTACAAGAAGGAAAGCAGAGTCGGAGAGTATACATTAATAATTGATATTGTAAATATTTTCGAAATATATAGTCGCTACTTTCCGACCAAGAGATTGTTATAAACTTTAATCTTATTGCGTCCGTAACGTTTAATAAGTTCATACTAATAATTCAGTTCGTATATTTTCGATATCAAGAAATGTCGAAACATCAAATGATGAAAATGTCGAATATATCAAAGGATCGTAATGGCAATGGATATAATGTAACTATCGATAATGATTATTAATAAGATATTTGTTATTATAAGTAATAGTATATTCGAAAAAAATGCACGTACGTTGTATTATATAATGATTTGTCACAAATATATGTGACTCGAATGCATGTGATATCATTTAGAATCCCATGTAATCTTTCTTACTATTGTGAAATATTTTACACACGTAATTATAGCTAATATATAATAAAATATATAAAAATATGTAATTCAATTTTATAAAAACTAATTATATATTGCTATTAATTTGGTTTGTGTATTATGCAACTAGAGATTTTTAAGATTGGCAAATATATGTATCCTTGAAAATTGAGGAACTGCTTGAGAGAAAATACTGCTATTCAAAAAGTTTTCAAGTATTTTGTAGAATCTATAGTAGGTTTGAAGATAAAACTGGATTATATTAGCTCGTAGCAGATAGAGTTACAACATAGCTTAATTATCACATGAATCACTCAATAAAATAACTGACCAATGAATACAAAGTACGGTTTTATAACTTCATACTGAATTGAATGAATTAAATCAAAATTTTGCCCCTTTTAAAGAAACATTTAATGCGTAATGTGTGGCAATATGTGCCTTACGTTTTATCAAAAATACGTATCATACTTGATAAAAGAACACTTGATAATGATAACAACAATATGCCACTTGATGCCTCCAGCAAAACATGCTACTACTACAAATAAACGATTTTATAAGCACTTCCACTACTACTAAGAAGCACACTGTATTTATATGCTCGAACCAGTCAGTAACTCTCAAGCATTAAGCATAGCTGTCAGTGTCATAACTTCAATATTTTTATTTTTGTAATTATTTTTATTCTATTAAATATGAAAATAGCTATTGTTGGTGGTGGCATCGTTGGATTAACAACAGCCGAATTAATGCATAGAGATTCGTTTCGTAATGCTGATATCACAATCTTAGCTTCGGATTTTGACGATACCGTCAGTCATGTAGCTGCGGGAATTTTTAGAGTCAGTCCTTCATTCTATGGTCCTACTGAAACTGTAACGAGGTAAATAATAACAAGCTCTTTGCTATTTTATCAAGCTGTTATACCCTGTTAAAAACCAGTAATAAGCTGTATGTATTATGTAAACGAATTTTAAAATAATCTTTCCCTCCAAAAACGCACTATTTTGAAATTGTGATAAGAAAAGAAAACGATATGCAAATACATTATAATAATATAAATATATACTTACAATCAATAATTTTTTAAGAAAATGGATAACACATTCTTACCTATTTTACGATACAATTCGAAAAACATATGATGCTCGTCATGCCGGAATAACCGATATTTCTGGATACATGTTCGCTAATTCATCTCCAGATACTGTTAAGGTAAGATTGTTAAAAAATAATTCTTAATGCAAGATTTCTAGATAAATCAGAATTGTAAATACGAATTGTTCTGTAATGTTAGTCCTGTAATCAGTGAATTTAACACAAAAATATATCTCAATTTATGCTACTTAATAAAATCAATAACTGGTTCGATCAGAATCATTGGCTGGAGAGCATAGTACCGGTATACAGAAGAGCAACGGAAGAAGAACTTCAATTGGTTAATGGAGATTGGAAATATGGATCATTTTACTCGACTCTTCTCACACAATGCAATTTGTTTCTCCCGTGGTCTAGGCAAAGGTACAAGTGATTATAAGACAATCACACGATCATAAAGACAATCACGTCGCAAATTGTTCGGCAGATTGCAAAAAGCCGGGGTTACATTCAAACAAAGGGAATTGAATTCTCTCGAGGAACTGACTGGCGAATACGACATCATAATGAACTGCACAGGATTTGGAGCGCGCAAATTATGCGATGACAAACGTCTAGTTTCTCTACGGGGTCAAGTGCTCAAAGTATATCATTCTTTGATTAAATATCAACTTCTCTTATCAATATGATTTTTCCATCGACACTTTCTTTCACAAATCGTACATAATTATCATAATACACGATGTATAAAGAAACCATATTATCTATGCAGGTAAAAGCGCCGTGGATCAAACTGTTCTTTTACGGCGAGCTCGACACTTATGTCATACCAGGTGTCGACGGCATGGTTACTCTAGGTGGATCGAGAAACTATGATTCTGAAAATATGAAAATATGTCCACATGAATCCGCAGGGATACGTGAAAGATGCGAGACGCTGGTACCATCGTTAAGAAATGCGGAAATTCTACAACAGAAAGTTGGTTTCCGGCCACACAGGGAAGGCGGTGCCAGAATTGGGGAAGGAATTCGCATTACCAATGCTCACTCTAAGCCGGCTATAGTTAGTATTTAGATAGCAGGAATTCAATTTACAGAATGCTTATGTTATTCTTCTTTTTTCAGATTGTGCATAATTACGGACACGGTGGTTATGGAGTTAGCATGGCACCTGGAACTGCTATGGAGTCTATAGATACAGCCATCAAACTGCACAAAGCTACTAGCTCTAAAATATAATTGTATCATTTTTTTCCCACTATGTACACGCATCATAAAGAGTATTACTCAAAGACGTTTTTCTACCTATAAATACATCATTTATTTACGAATTTACGAAAGTTAAAACGATCTAATACTGCGCGGTATTGTTTGCTGAAATGCATTTAAGACTTCTGAAGGCCTGTTATCACGAGTAAAATACATGTTTATACTCCGTTTAGCGGAGAAATATATTTCGCTGATTGCAAATCATAACATCTTGTTCGAGACAATAAATCCTGACAATTTGTCAAAATATAATAGCAACACTTTGTTTTCTTATTAGTAAGATCATTAACATATCAAGTATCACGAGCTGCTGACTATTTTGTAAGATTGTGAAACGAGCAATTCGATATTAATCGTGTACGTGAATGCATTATGAAGTTACTAACTTATAAATGTCATATTGTAAATTAACGTAACAGATTATTCATCGAGCATTAAAACGATATCGTCAAATAATTTATCAGTGTAAAAAAAAAGACCATTGTATTTAAATGTTACTTCTTGCCAGGTTTCACATTTTTTCGGGGCGGTGCCCCCCATCTCAACGCGCTGCTATCGACCGTAAGACGTGGCCTCTTGTACTGACTGCTTTTTATGTGTTCTTCCACTAACTTAGGTGTAACGCAAATGACGTGCTGTCCTTTCCAATATTTAACCATGTTCATACTTTGTAACGTTGATATGATATCGGTTTGTGAGATGCTGGTCATTTGACTGTAAGTAAATTTGTATTTTAATGTATCATTGATGAAATATTTATGTTACCGGTATTATATGATCAATATGTTACCTGAGATCTTTAATACTAAGCGTTCCTCTAAAATCTCGAAGGATTTCCAGCAGAATCCAACTCCAGTAACTGCGGTAGGACAATTTTCCTAAGTCGCTTAAAGGTTTTTCTGGACTTCCAACAGTTTGTTCAATCCTGCTTAATTCATAGCTAAAGGCTATGAGCAATTTGCCATAGCCCTGTCTTTGGAAAGGCGGCAGAGTTAAGATGCACGCAACATTGTTACCGTCGGGCGATTCTTTCTCCTGCAAATAGAAAAAAATTGACAAATAAAGACAATCAAATTTGAAACAAATCTTAAAAGATATGCAAAAACTTTAAATTGTTGTGCATTTTTCTAGTTGAGATATGTAAATACAAAAATTTTATTGCAAATCAGCAAACATTTCTTATCTCAATTTTAATATTAATTATAAAATACTTAAATATTTTTAAACATACCTTTGAAAAATAACCAACTAAATGCGCACCATGCTTATCCACCTCGCACAAAATGTAAAAAAGAAACGGCTCCACGTCAAAATAAAGTGTTTTATGATCCAAGAATAACTTAGCTAGCAAACATAGATTCTGACAATAAATTTTGTGTTCCCTGCCATCTACTTCATAAATACTTAATGTGCCCTTCCGATAGATTTCCTTTCCAACTGGCTGTCTGTGCGTACATTCACTCTGGAACAAAAATATCACACTATGATTATAATATATGCTTCAAAAAGATGCACATGTTTTTTAAATTTTCTAATCTTACCATGTGATATCTGTATGTTTTCTCAAGACGCATATACTTCAAGCAGTATTCGCAAATCCAAAGTTTTGCTTGTTTACCATATTCTTCAGGATATGGACTAAAATACCAAGTATCAATCTCATACTTGCCTAGAAACAAACTTTTGAAAATAATGAGATCCTTTTTGTGTTAATTGAACTATATATAAGTAAAAAAGTATATATTTACCAATCTGTATCCTATCTATGTACTTCACTTTTGTTATAGCTTCATGTTCCTTTTCCAATGCAGCTGTAGTGGGATCCATTTCTGCATAAGTCTAAAGTAATAAATTAATAATAAAACCAATAAAAAAAACTTTCTTCTCCTTGTATGGCAATACAGCTTTTCAATATAGATATATACCTTTTGTACATGGTTAATCTCATCATGGCGCCTCTTTTGATTCCTGGTGATCTTGCGATCAGAAGAATCTGCTAACAGATCAGTTCCAGAATTCCTGTCATGCCGTTCAATCTCACTCATGTCAAATCTGCTAGACATAATTCTATCACGAGGTACCCATTCATCCAATCTTCTGTTATGTCCTTCATAGTGGACGTAGTATTCATAATGACTTTCACTTTCATTATAACGTGTCTGAATTATTTCAGCAGGATCTGCAATAACAAAATAATTAATAACATCAAGTAAATCTATTGACTTCTTTCTCTCATCCAAAAATACCAATAGTAAACTATATATATTACATTCTATAATATTGACAACTTTTCTTTTTATTACAATGGTAGTAAATACAAGAAACTAATTAAATATAACAATGTGTTTCAGTATTTTAAATATCTTGGCAACCGTTATCGACAAAAAGCCGGTAATGCAGGAGCGAGAAATGTCTACGAGCTGAAGGTAAAGCGCGACCCATCCACAATCATCAATTATGCGTTTATGATACAAAGCTGAAGAACTATATGTAAAAAATCCGATCTTACGCACGCCAGGAGTCGTCGGATCTGCGAACGAGGTAGTGCTCGCCTATGTCGAGCGGTAATTCTTCGAGGCTGTCCGCGTCATCTCCAGAGCCCTTCCCGCCATTCGTCAATGTCTCACGTTTTTCTTGCTTCACCATTATCTCCTTCGACATCGCTGTGTTGCAACCGCCTCTTTGTTCAGACTCGGCCATTTTCTGGCTGTAGCTCACTCGCCACGAAAATCACATTCGTTGACATGAACAACCCGAAAATAGCTAAACATTGCACAGGCTGATGCAACGACACAAACTAGACGCAACAATCCCACGACGATCAACAACGATCCGTATCACGGCACGACTATACACTCACACACTCACAATTAGTCCAAAATTTTAAGATACATCCAGCAACTGGCATAACTGTTTAATACACATATATAGAGAGAGAAATCGACAAATCACGTGTCTCATATAAACTTAAATTAAATGATGAAGTCTCTTTTTCATGCACGCGCATTCTTCATTACGCACATGCGTCTGAACAAACTCTTAGGAATATAAAACCAGAAATAGGAACATTTCACCAGATCAAATGTTGGCGAATGACGTGCAGGAATAAAATGTGTTTTGCGGTTACCGCACTGTCAACGGCGTAGTGGACGAGACGAAGCAGCAGCGTTGTGACCTGTGTACGCGTGCGAGCCATTTTTTTTAAAGTAAGTAATAGAATATCGTGCATATTACGATTTATTGAGCGGCGCGTTAGCGATCGCACATCAACAATTGCTTTTGTACATTGATCTTTTTGTCGATTTCAGTTCCTTTCTGTCTTTTTTCCACATTATCGATGGATACGTCTGTCGGTTACCACGCTACGTCGGAACCATCCGCGGCTGGAACGGTAATATCATTTCTGTTAATTCTCTCTTTAGCTTTCTATCCCCCTCTCTTCGCTCCCCTCCCCTTTCTACTATCTTGTTCTTTTCCCGCGAGTAAACTGATATGATTGCTTGCTTCGCCGTATACTTGCATATATATCCATTTCATTAAAGGCATGAACCGTTCATAGGATCGATAATTGGTCAATTGGCGTCATAGCGGCACGAGCAATCGGGATCGGTAACTTTTCCGTGGGCAACGGTTGGCAGTACTTTCCGGCTATTCACTTGGCTGCGTATTTCCTCGCATTTCGGAAAATAGATCCGAGTGGACTCGACTTTGACCGCCATTTTCGTATCTCTTTCTTTACTATCGCGTGCGCCGCGAGGCTTGTTCAATTTTCCTTTGTTTTTGATTAATTTGCCAAAACGTCGCAAATGCATGTAAATAGTCAAATCGATCGATGCGCGTTAAGCACGCGTAAAGATGACCTGGTAACATCACAACTCGGCAGAACACGTTCACGAAGCCGGTCGCGTCTTTTAGGCGGGCTCCTTTGTGTTGCTCGCATGTCGCGTTGCAAGGCGTCGCCTGATGCGGCTGTTTGGCTGCCGGTCTCTAGATAACAGTAATTATCAGATGATTATAGGTGGAATTCTTTTGCAAATACACGCTGATTCATGATGAAATCGTGGACATTGAATTAGCGCGACCTTGAAGAACACGTGCTTATAAATTATTCTTGATAGTTTTTTTTTTTTTTTCTTCTCTAATTTACTGATACACACCTTTTTGTTTAAAGTTGAAAGATGATATTTTAGAAGTATCTATTTTTACGTAGACAATTGCTGCATCAATATTTATAAAACTTACACTTAATGTTATGTAATATTTACAAAAATTTAACAACTTTATGTTATATAATGCAAAAATATAACCAAGTCTTTGGAGCAGTCTTTGGAGCTTTATAATAACATTAGTAGATTATAGAGAAAAGTATTCATGTAAGAAAAAATTTTTTATGCTGAATAATCCTTCAATCATATATTGCAAATTATGATTGCATATATGAAAGAATTTTTCAGTATAAAAGAAAAATATAAATTACTTCATACCCATGTTAACAGTATAATAATGCAAGGAATTATGTTTTCAGAAGATGGTTTCGTCAAATCAGCCGGTAAGATCATACAAATAGTTGAATTGTTCCTCATTATATTAGTTACCTGCTGTAGATTATAAAAAAATATTGAATGAATATTTGTGCAAGAATAAAAATTAACATATTTATCAATTTTATTAATTTATTTAATTATTTAAAAGCTCAGCATTACTTTACATTATTGTTTCATATATTTTGTAAAATGTTTTAATGAGATTGAGCAATAATAAGTCTCAAACAGACACCATACTCTCTGCAACAGACGTATGGTCGATTTCTGAGATACATTTCTTATTAAATTATATTTTTACTGAAAGTTTTCCAAAGCTCCTTATTATATTTATCAATAATATGTTATTTGAATTATGTTCAGCACAACAGTAAGAATTTATTTTATTTTGTAGCGGAAAACAAAAATATTTGTGGGGCGGTTGCCAGAAAATTGTCGCAACGATGAGTTGCGACAATTATTCATGCGTTTTGGTGAGGTGACCGAATGTGACGTTATGAACCGATATGGCTTCGTTCACATGGCACGAGAGGAGGATGCAGCAGCGGCGATCAAAGCACTTCACAATTCCAACTTCAAAGGGGCGACGATCAACGTGGAACAATCGACCGGAAAGTCACGCGGAGGTGGAGGAGGACGCCGAGATGACCGAAGAGGTGGACCAATGAGAGGTGGTAGGGGGGGACGAGACGGTGGTAGAGACGCTCGTCCTGGACCATACAATGATAGAAGAGGTTTGTATAGTTTCTATATCTGCATTGTAAATTCCGACAAGACTATTTTCTCATTTGATTTTCTTCTCACTTACTGTATACCCTGTATGTGTAATATTTAATGGTCTACTATTGTATATTTTTTTGTTTTTTGTTGTTTCCACTGTTACTACTTTCCCATCCCACATTAATAAGTGTAAAGTAGGACTCGTCAAATCGATTTATGACTTCTGCGAACAACATGAACATTTTATTGCAGAGCGCATTGAGAAAATAGTATGTTGGAATGAAATGACATAACTTTGACAATGTGCACTTAAAAACCAATTTGATATCTCGGCGTGCTTTGCAGTTCTTCCGATCCAACTCGTTGGTTACGATGGATCTGCTGCAGGTGGCGTCGCAACGGGGTACACCGATTACAATCGTGGGGCTGGCGACTTTAGCGGCCGTGGAACGGACTTCGGCACCGGCTATGCTGATCGCGGGGCTTACGGTCAGAACATGGGCGGCGCAGCGATGGGTTACACCTCAACAGCACCGGGCATGGGTGGTGGATACGGACCGGCAGCCGGCGCCGTGGGAGGATACGGACCGACGGGCGCAGCGGACTACGGACGAACGGCTGACTACGGTCGTGCCGACTTCGGTGCTAGAACAGACTATGGTAATCACGGTGGTGAGTGGTGTTTGTGCAACTTTGAAAGTATGTGACCCAGCCCCACGTAACCACACTGTCTATTATTTTGAGAAGGTGTTAGACAATCTAGAAAAAGAATATGAGTTTTCAGGTTTGGGGTTATAAACAAAATGGTACAATCTTATCTCTAAAGATATCAAATGCTTTGGAAATATGCATTATGAAAATAATTTTATTTGTTTGAAATTTATCATTCGCACTTTACTCCACAGACTAATACTTCGAAGAAGTTGATACAGAAACAAGTTGAAACAAGAGTAAATAATTAATATTTTTTATATTTATTGTATATCATAGATAATTCAATCGACATTTTATATTCTTTATTTGACATTGACATTTAGATATGCATTTATCATTATAGTTCTTGAGACGATAAGATCTGTAAGACGCATGAGATGAAAGGGACGCACAAACTTTCCAAGTGAAACAAACGCGGAATCTCAAATTTTGATGAAATCCTTAACGTTTATATTGTTTCCATAGTTGGCAGCGGAATGGCCGGAGATTTCAATCGCGGAGCACCTGGTCCGGTTGATTATGGTCGTACTGATAATTTTGGTGCCAGTCGTACAGTCGATTATACAGCTAGAAATGATTATGATAGAAGTGCAACTGGCCCTATGAGAAACGGTGGTGGCGCCGTTGCCACTACCGGGTATGGAACTGGGTACACTGATGTTGGATATGATGAGAGTCACTGGTAATGTAATCGCTATTGTTTACTTCTGCTCTTTTCACAAATTTCTTGAAGTCAAAGATTTTAAATCTCTTAAATTAAAAATTCTGAATTGACTCTCAAACCAAAGTGAGTTCGTAAATAAGTTATATAAAATATTTATGTTTTTTATGAAGCATTGAATTATAAATGCCTAATTCACTTTTGTTTGAGACAAAGCAATATTATTTATTTTTTAATTGCAAAATTTATATATTAAATCTCAACTATGTAATAAATTGAATATATATACTTGTAATTTTATTTGTGATGTGCATATTTGACACATGACAAATTTTATTAAGTTCAATAATTAGATGTAACTAAATTTAAGATTAACTTCAGTGAAATGTACTTCGATGATTTATATATATTAGCGCCTCTCATTATTAATAAATGCACATTTTAGAGTTCATTAAAATCGCACATTTTAGATTACATTAATTTGTAATCATTAAAAATAAATCACTTAAATCGGTCGAAAACGATTTTGCTATAAACATCTTTAGGAGGCAACAATTTGTATTATAGAATCATCTACATTACACTGTGATTTTATTTTATCTTTTTTTACATTACAACAGCTTTGCATACACGTGAGAAAACCTTTTTTTACTTAAATCAAAGCTTGTTTCTTGCTGTAGAGTTTGAGTGTCAATGCTGAAAATTATACTTTTTACATTTCATTAAAATAAAACCATAATAACATTAAATTATAGTAAACTATTACAATTACAATTTTTAGCGTAGACACTAAGCTTTTCAGTTTCGCTATTAAAACAGAATTAATCTAGATTACTTAATTTATATAAGTATATTATTGATGTACTGTGATTTGATACAATTATATTTATTCATACATTAAACTTTTTAGAAATATGGGTATAAATGCACACAGTTAATGGGGGAAAACAATAGTGTATAAAATTTATAAAGCTCACAAACGGGCTTTACAAATTTGCGTGCACTGTTGTTAGGCTTCATTTTTATTCTAACCTGAGAGGTCTTTTCCATTGCGTGAAATAAAGAAACATTTTCGAAACGATCATACGGCATATTGCAACAACGCTTGTGCAGCAATGTAATAATATTCTAAACGTGTTGCCCAGGATAGAGTGAAAATAAGTTGAATTGTTGTATAACAGGGGTTATCCGGGCGGGCCAGGGGATATGATGGGTGGGCCTGGGGGGGTAAGTCAGGGAGCTACGATGGCCTACGAAAGGAGGGATGATCCTCCTGGTAATGATATACCTCCATTTAACAGGCCAATGAGCACTGGACCTAGCTACAGCACTGGGGCACCTAGTTATAGCACCGGTCCAGGACCGCAAGCTGACATGTTTAGTAGAAGACCTGGTAGTGCCGTGCCCAGTGGTGGATATCCACCGGTAGCTGGCGGGTAAGTTGCGAATCGCAGCGACTTGTTGGCAGAAGACTTCAGCTTCCGTGTGGCTAATCTGTCATTTTGTTCATTGCAGTTATGAGGGCTATGACAGACCGGACGCATATGGTCCTCCACGTGGCAGCGGTCGGTAAGTTGCACTTTATTAATATATCTCATACGTTTCATCAAAACAGCGAGTATGAAAAATAATACTGCACATACTGACGTTAAAAAGCGAAGGAAATCTATATGCGTACGCTTATCAATCTGGCGTGTCTACTCTCCTTTGCGCTATATATGCCTCTCTCGTTCTCTTATTCTCGATTGTGTGTGACACAATTTCTATGCGAATCGACACAGGATTATATATTTCTGTAAAAGTATAAGGTGTGACACTTCGCGCGATACTCGGCCACATACGAAAGGCGTAGCTTCATCGTGTACGCGCTGATTTGCGCAAACGAATCGTTGCTTCTATCCGCATACGTGTAGAGAACCGACGTTTTTATCTTATGAGTGTAAAAGAGAACAGAGGCTGAAAATCACTGTGATTAAAAGTTCCGCTGATCTAATGACTATGATTAATGACACTATCCTTTTATACACATATTTACGATTATATGACGTTTTCCAAGTATTCAAAATATATTTTTTACTGTTCACTCTATAATAATGCTTTGATTGAAATATTTAAGACAGACTATATTTGATAACTCTTAAAATAATAAATGCAATAGAAATTAATAAAAATATTATATCGATTATCGCGGAAAAATTGAAAATTTTTTCTAAAATTTCTATAATCAAGTTAATTTCTTATCATTGTGTATATGTGATATGATTTAACAGCTTGCGGACTTATCGTCACACATCAGTACACCTGTGATATATCACCTCTCTTCTTTTACGTGCTCCGTGATGAAAGTTCTCGATCTAAGCGTCCATCCGAGATGCGCTATGCGATCAATCTGCCGGCAATTCCGCATAATGATGAGATGCGCTCGAAAAAGCAGAAACTTTTACAAACACGGAACTATTTTCGGGTAAATAATCGACTTCTGTGAGCAATTCCGCAGCGTAGTATTTCGTAAAAATTTTTTGCGGTCCCGTAAAGACGTATTCTGCGGCAGACGAAACTTTTCGTAAACTTTTGATCTCACGCCTTCCACACGCCGCAACATAAACTGACGCACTGCTCGTCTGCGCACCGCAGCTTGCGAAACTACGAAATGCACAATCCTTCGCGTTTGCTCTCCCCGTCTTCTGCATAATCAGATTTTCCCAATCCGAGGTACATTGCGTTGCAGCTACTGCGCCCACAACGAATAACGACAATACGATCGAACATTGACAAAAGTCGTGAGACTTGAAAAACTCTTCTGCTCTCTACAGAAATCGAGTCAGTTTCCAAACTTGCGAACCGAAAGATGACCGATTGCGGCGTTCAATTTTTTACATGTATGACAGTTAACCAGAACTGGGTGTGAATTTTACCTTCATCAGTGGACAATCTTTTGAACTTCATAAATTTACATATTTCTCATATTGTTTCATACTTAAATAAAAAAGACTGATCTTTGTATGTTATATAATATTCTGTCATATTGCGCAATAATATATATTAAATAACTTATATACAAATTAAAAATCGATATTTAACATCTGTGAATAATGAAACCCTTTATTCTTCTTGTAGTACAATTTAATAAATTTAACAATAAAAATATCTATAAATTTAACAATAGGTAACGTGTAAAAATATCTTGCCCAGATCTGGTAGCTGTATTTTTTTAGCAAATATGCGTTACATGCGCTGCGACGTGGAAAAAAAAAGAAAAATAGATTTCCGAGATTTCCTTAATATCGTATCCGAATACAATACCGCCGTCGGAATTGTATGCACGAATTCGCATCTGGACGCGTTTCGCGCTGATCGCGCACGCCAGTGTTGCATCTTATACTTTCTCCTTGCCCCTTGCACAGCAAGGCGATCACGTAATTAATTCTGCGATTTTTCATTTTCTGACCTTTTAGCTTCCCAGGTCCGGCAGACGCGATGCCACCGAGGTACTAAAAGTGTACTAAAGCAAACATTCGAGCGCATGCGAAAGGCAGCCATAAAAACAAAAAATCGTAAAAAAAAAGATTTTTGCCTTATAGCGCCGATCATTCGCTTATGGGCTTGATTATCTAGGAACTGCCCTCTGCGTTCTCTACGTCGAATCCATATGATTATAATGAAAACTATATATAACTTATAATAAACCTTATAATGTTTAATTGTATTGTAAGGCACGGTAAGGATAAGAAGAGTATCAATAGACATAAATAACAAATTCAAGCCCAAGCAATTTTTTTTGAACACCATGAATCAAATTTATACATAAATTTCAACACTAAGATGAATATTTTGCTATGTTAGTTTGTGTATTAATAGAAACTTTTTGACGTTGCTCATTGAGTTTGTTTATAATTTTTTTTCTTATTTTCTATGGATAAATAAAATTTCATGATATATCTAGTGTGGTCTGAACATTTTCTTACACTTAATTCTCTGTCCACACTGTGGCATGGATTATTTTCTTGTATATCATAGCGTTAATTCTACAAAAAGTGACTTATGCTATAATAACAATGCTGTAATATTTTTTTTATATATAAGAACATAATAATGTTTTAAATATGCATTAATGAAGCAAAGAAACGTACATAATAACAGTTATCACAATTATGTACCTTTATATGAAAGAAATAAAGTGCAAACAAATGTCCTAAAGTAATCTTTACATAATCTCTAATAATATGATATAATTCATTTTCTTTTTCTTCCAGTCGCTTTATATGTAGTAGAATCAACATTAAGTTTAATTACTTGCTAATTATCAAAAATGTCACAATAAAATCATTCAAACATTGTTTTACATCAGTTAACATCTCTTCGCAAGTAATTCATGAATGAAAGTGCTTGTTATTTTGCTATTAAGATATACTGTCGTTATAATTTTTTTTTTCTTTTTTAATCTTTATTATACGATTTTTATTATTCATATAAGCGTTAAAATACAGTTCTTACCTTAAAATCTTGTTGATTCAGTTACGTCGTAGAAGAAAATAGCAGCGACATCAGATAGAGAATACTAATTGTCCATCTCTAACATATAATTTATGTCATTCGTAGGAGCGAACGGAAGAAAGTAATTAGCAATAATTAGCGTGCGTTTAATTAATATTAATTCTTCATTCGACGGCGTTGTGCATTGTGATCTTGTGCATTATTTTAATATAGTTTTGTAAAAATTTAACATGTCGAATTGAAAGTTATATATTGCTGCAAACCATATGTAATGTCCAATGTGAAAATCTACTGATGTTTCAAAACATAAAAAAATCTTGCAACGGAAGTCGAATATGGGAAGAAGTCGATGAAGAAGAATTCGATGGCAATGCAAAACGTCAAATCTCCAGCTGGTGCAGTTTACTTAGTTAGGGCTGTACTGAAACGCCGGTTTGTGAACGTGCGACTGTGTACGCGTTGCCGTACGTTATCCTGGTGGCGGCTTGTCGACCTGCGATTATTGAAGAAACCGATTACACGACGATTATTCGCTATGCGTGGCTACCCGTAGATGCGACGATCGGCGAATAAACCAACCTGCGATATATGGATAATGCGCCACAAATTGCGTTTGCGCTCAAAGCTGGCGTGCTTTGAATTTAATCAAGAAGGTATGTTCAACGCGTGCGACCTTTATACTTTATCTGTTGAGAAAAACCAAAGCGCCTTCGGGCCTACTACACTATATCGATATTTCATAAGTGCGAATGGAGGATGTCCGGTCGAACAAAACGTAAAACTGTTAAACGAGAAAAAAAAAGTAACCGTCGATTACTGAGAAATCATGTGCGCGCGTATAAAAAAAAAAGCGGCCGCTTTTTTTCGTAATCTCAGCATGTTATGACATTGCGATAGAAATGCATAGATTCTAATTCCGTCTCTGCCATAATAGCTGCAAATGCAAAATAATCTCTCGTTAAGCCGTAATTAATATAATTTTTAAATTATCTGTGAATCTCATTTGCCAAAAGATTTTAATTTTTTTTTCACTTGTCAGATATATATGTATATTTAATTAGCTGAATTAAAATATCTTTTTCGGTATTTTTGCAAATTATTTTGTAAGTATAACGACATTCTTACATATATTTTTAATTTTAATTTCGTGAAATCTAAAATTGCACATTTTACAAAATCAATATTAGTTTCTTATGATGATATTAAATAATGTTATATGTTAAATATGTTGCGATACAACAATTTAAAACTCAACAAATCCAAATTTTTCAATCTTTCTAATTTCTTGCAGTCATGTCGTGTAATTAAATATCATCTAATTAAAATTAATACATTTATTGGTGTCTTTTGTGAGATGGAATTAGAACGCAAGGTAAACAAATGCGATGTGTGAATTGGAAAAGATGCAGTGTTTTTTTTTTCTTTTTGCTAACGTTATCGCCGGTATTTGCGAATTATTCGTTTTTAATTCCATTAATATCCTATCGCCGCCGAATCTTTCCGCAAAATAAATTCTAAAAAATTCCGCTCATTCTTTGGCGACAAAACAGTTTGAGCACCATGTTACAAGATGTGCTTTGGAACAGCTCTCTTAATATCGATAGAAGAATGTCGCAGAAAAATTTTCTCAAATTGTCGGCCTGCACAATGCTCCTATTAACTCTTTAATTGCTGTCACTACATCTTCCACTAGAATCTATATATTTCTAAAAAGTGCACTTTCTCATTTTACGAAATTTATCAATACAAAGATATGTATTCTTTCTTTCACGCCATACGATCATAGATCATGTCAAGATCGATTTTACAAATTAAAGTCTATTCATTGTGAAATAACATACGACAGTTACATCACTAATTAATAATTTTCGTCGAGCATCAACATTAGCTGGCGTTCATACAAATAAATGATAGTATTAGAATATCATTATGTTAAGTTTACAATTAATCAAATATCTTATGTACGCTTTATAAAACAAGATAATTTTTTTGATAGATTACAAACGGGATGAGGACAGACTGTTGGACATTGAGATGAACTCAATGGGAATCCCTAATAAGCCTTCCCAGGAAGCCTTCACTGACTGTGAACTCATTTGTCCAGGGGACAAGAGCTAAATGTGAAGATGGACAAAAATATCTGGCTGCTTTTAATGAGAAAGAAAGGAAGCACGCAGGAACAAAGTACGAAATTATAATTTTTAATTGTGTAAATTTTTTTTCACATCATGTATCAACATCGTTACATAAAATGATAAAGCGATTCTCATCTTTAAAGGTAATAAAACTTTTTCTCCTAATATGTTCTTTTTATTTTTCATCCTAAGGTTGCGAAGTGTAAAACAATAGGATCTTGCAAATTTTGCATATAATTTTTATTAAAATAGATAAATATAACCATTTTAACAGATCTGAATTGAATATATAAGTTCTTATATGTTCAGGCTTTAAACGTACAATGCTTGTTCCTTTTATCACCAATATGAGTACTGACAATGTAAATTTATACATACACCAAATATATATATATATTCATATATAATACCGTACAAAAACTTAATGATTAATAATTTCTTCAATTATTTCTCTAATACATATTAAAATACTTTTAGTATTTATATATAACATGTTATATCAAAACTCGAATATGACACACGTATCTTTTCGGAACAGTATATTTCAGACTATTATTCTCATACGTAACCATTTTATGATCTTGATGTTGAAATCGTCAGAAAGGCGCGATCCAATCTTATAAGCTGGGCTCAGGTCCAACACCGCCTGCGAGTTTATACACAAGTGAGGCTACTTCCGTAGCTAGGCAGTCTACATCTGACGAGTTTTCACATTCTGCATAAATTCGCACGATATCTTCAGTTCCGGAAGGCCTAGAAAAAAAGTCATGATTAGAACATAATTGAAATAAATGCTGTAATCGTTTTATATATATGTCTAAAATTTGTTAATATATTTTTGATGACTTAAAGGTACTTCATAGATAGTATTTCCGAAGATTTTGTACGTGACAAATATAGTACCTGACAAAAGATCGACCTCTTGGATATTTTGAGACAACTTTGTCAATCTCTTCTTGCAATCCAACGGGGGTCAAACAGTGTCTTTCCGCATTCGTCGTCGTTATAACATTTCTATCGTTGACTTTAACTTTTAGTTGCTTATTCGGAAGATCGTCGTAACTTTTTTCCCACTCGACAACGTCCCAGTCCTTGGCGTGTAATATAGTTTCGACTAATAACATATCACTCAACGCGTCGCCGACTGTTTCATTTATCATATCAATCACGTCCTTTAACTTCGTAGAAGCCACCTTTTGTGCCTCTGAAAGTAACTCGTTCTCAGCATGATTCTTGATAGCTTCTTTAGCAGTATCTTTGAAAATAATAGTTCCATGTCCATTCGCTTCGAAATAGATTCCAATATCGAATTCCAGCGCCTTTTTATGTAAGTGCTTCACACCGGTCGGCACGCACACCACTGGAACTTCCAATACATTTAAAATGTAATCAGTCGAGCCGCCGTTAGCATATGCGGTTTGCACCAAGCCTAATTGTAAGGATAAGCCACTTGTCTTCAATAGTTCTTTGAAGTAGGCGGCCACTAGTGTTGCTATTCGATCTCCATCCAAAAGATGAAATCTAAGATTCTCATCCATGTAAAAATATACCACTCTATCGGCATCCCCATCTATACTAACGCATCTTACGTTTTTTACAGAGGGAACATTTAAAGGCAATGTCTGATGCACTTTGACATAATCTGCACCACATAAATGATTCAAATCTGCACCACCACCATTAAATAATTTGATATCCAATGCACCTCCCAAGTGCCTCTGAAATTCTTTCACTGCAATGGCCCCAACACCATTCGCAGCGTCCAGTTGTAATACACTTGTATACTTCTTACTGTTTTTCTCAGTACCTCTTATACTTTTGAACACCGCTGAGAGTTTTGAATAATATCCTTGCAATGTGGGATTGCCATAAGCACCGTTCGTGTTTGTACACACTACAACATAATGCAGCTGGGGTGTCGTGACTAATCCTAAATCTGTAACAATGCCATTTAAGGCTCTAATTCCTGCTAATGTGGCATTTAACAAGAGAGGACTGCTTTTACGAGTGTCTCTTCCTGTTATCACTGTGGCTGGCGCTGACAAGTCAATGTTTTCATCTTTCGATATACGTATCAACGTTGATACCAAATCGTTATCTTGTACATTGGCTACATTTGTTGCTATAGTTTCCCAGGATGCTTCAAGCATTTCACCAGCTGGATCGACAAGCTTGATACCATTATCAGGCTCCAAGTTATGACTTGCGGTAATCATTAAACCTATGGCAGCTGTGAAAAATTACTTGTTAAAAAACATAACCAATTCTAAGAGATTTAAAGCTTTATTTTATGTTACATACTCACCTTTTTTCGCTTTTGATCTTAATACTGCTAGGAGTCCCATCCTGTATAAAACATGTTCCAAAATATCCGACCTAAAATTAAGACACGTTAATTGATAGATAATAGGAGACTAATATTGCAACATATGCCACAATAGATAAAAATAAAAGTAAAAATTTAAGAAAAAAAATTATTTTTCTATGTAACATTCTTAGTTAAAAGTTTTATCAATATTTTATTTTATGCAATGGGATCAACAAGTGTCAATATAATCAGAAAAATTTATACTTTGTTCTAAAGCCAGCGGTTCCATATTCAATACGTCCATCGTATTTTCGATTATACTTAATATTCTCAACATTTTGAAAATATTTCGATTCCATAGTGCATACACCGACTTCAATATGCTTCAAGATGTAATAAAGTTGATACGCGATTGACAACTGTGCGAATATGACCCGACATGTGTGCTCCGCGCTTCGGTTAGCCTCGGACACTAGAAAAGAGCAGACATACTATTTCTGTCTCCTTTCTTAGCGGCCAGAAACGCTCCATTTTAGCCGAGATTTTAAATGTTTTATCTAATGGATGATCCATTATTTATATACATAAAAAAATTGTTTAGTTTTGCCTTATCTTACTATTATTGTGTAATAAATTCTTTTACTAATATAATTTTATTGGTTTTTATTAAAATTTTTTATCAATAGGATACACACAATTTATGTTGTTACAAATATCTTAATCTATCTTCACTTTCTACCGCCGACTTTCTGGTTAAATCACATTCGGAAAGTTTTTTTGTTGCAAAAATTCAATGTCCATGATGGAAATGCTTCAACAAATAATAACTTTGCACCAAATTTTTATCATGTAGCGGTTATCATGTAGATTGGGTAGGTTTTAAATAAAAAAGTAAACATCTTTAATTTGTTAAAAATTTTTGTATTAAAATAACACTATTTTATGCGTACAACAGTGCTTTATCAGGTGCGTGTATCGACGTCTTTTTTCTTTTAAAAAATTTTTTTATATATTAGAATTTATATATAACAATCTGTTATTTTCAGAGTAAATCTAATCATAAAGTACAGCAGAATGTTAATTTTTAGTAATGTTAATTTGATTTTAAATAAGTTAAATATTAATTTAAATATTAAAGTTGTATAATTTTAAAATTATAATTATTTTAAATATTCCGAAAGGTACAAGTAGTATCATAGAATAGTGTAAAACTAATAAAAAATATTTTCAATTTTATACACATGAATTTTATCTATGATTTTTTGCATTTGTTAGAACACTGTGTTCGCGATATCGTGGGTGATTAATACGTCAAATACGTGATTCATCACGTATTTGATCATCATTTTTATTGTGCCGATTATTATTCCTTATCATGGTACTAGTATAGCTAATGCTTTCAACTTCGAGCACTCCATTTTATGATACTGTTGTGTGACGAACACATTTTCTTATCTCGTGCCCGATTGCAGTTCCCATTGGCGGCGGCACCGCATTGCCAATTTGTCGATGCTTATCGAGTATTGTACCGTAGAAAAGAAATGAGTCGCGGAATCCTTGGGATCTTGCACATTCCCTTACACTCACAACTCGATTCTGTACTGGATGCAAGACACGGCCCTAAAAATCAATCATTATGTTTGAATAACAAAATTCGCTTTAACTCATTTGTCTGCTTAAAATAAACGAAAAAATCGCATTAAAAAAATCATTGATCTATTTATTTTAAGATATAGCGTTTTTTATCTACAAAATCGCGTGTCGCATTTTTGCGATAATTATGAATTTATTATACATTCTGAGAAATTAAATTCATATTATTTTTGTTAATGCATACCTGTTTACCCATCGGCTCTGGATTGGTAATAGTTGTACTGAAAAATCCATCCCACTCGAGTCTACCATATAAACCGGCCCAATTATTGTGTCGATTCCCAGTGTGCGGCAAGCACCATGGAATTAAAGTATTATACTGTCTATCAGGATCGCATACTCGACCAGTACTGCAACAGCATACGCCTCGTAATGCACCCTTTGAACTTTTCCCAGCCTTTTTATCATGATGCGTATATTCTCTGAACAAAGAAATTAAAAGATTAACTTTTATATGATAAAATAAAGGCAAGAATTATAGTTGAATAATTGTAATTAGCGTAATAAAAAAATTTCTACAAATTTTATAAATTACAACGCAACCAAAGAAAAGGACGCAATAGACTTTTGTACGTACAATTTCTTGGACAAGGAACCGTCGCTCAATCGCACCACGATATTCGGCAAATCACGCCAATCGGAACCGGGTACAGTTGGAATATGAGCCATTCGTATTTCTACGATCGAAGCCATTTCTTTACATATGTGATCTCTCACTAGTGGTTGATATTGTTTACCTCTCACCTAGAATGAATAAAATCGAAAAAATTTCAGCGCACTAGAAAACGCATTTTGATTTTCAGAAAGTGCATACCAAAATGTGTTTTTAAGATAATCACCTTTCTCTGAAAATGTGTTAATGGTTCACTGCTATAAGACATTTTTTCTTTATTCCAACCGTTTTTGATATCTGGTAAATCACACATGGCGTCTTTCACTGTAACTGTTCTAAACGGTGCTGATTCTGTCCAAACGCAATTTGTTTTATACTAAAAATATGCATATCTCATTAGTGAAATATATTACATAATGATACGTAGATTATTTCTATACATTTCATGCGTCTGTCGCAATATGCAATTATCTTTACATCGATTTGATTGTGATGACTTCTCTCATTAATTAATTATAAAATTAATTTCTTTCTCACAGCAAAGTATATAAAATTTATAAACATGCCGCAATACAAATTGAATAAAAATATAAACAAATACCTTTTTATTATCCACCACTACATTTAATGTGCAGCATCGCCTATTGAATACATGAGTTGGTTCTGGATATTTTGGAAGCATCTCTCCAGATGCAGCAGCTAATATTATCAATCTGTAAATTGAATGTAAAAGCATTATTAGTAAAATAAAATTTATTTTTAAGCAATATCTTTTACAACAGTTATTGTACAATATCTTGTAACGTAAAAAAAATAGAAAATAAACCTTCTTCTCGTTTGCGGTATTCCATAATTGCCAGCTTGGAGAACGCCAAATGTACATTGATAACCCATGCGAATGAGACATCTTAAAGTCAATTTGAGCACCATATTTTTCTTATAAATCACGAAATTCCGCACATTTTCCATAACAAAAAATTTTGGTCTATAATAATCGCAGTAAGATAAACATGAAACAATGAGAGAACTTTTAAATAATGAGTATTGTCGTGAATTAAAGCGATTCATGCCACTGAAACCTTGACATGGTGGACCACCACATAAAAGTTCAACATCTCCTTTTTGAGGAAGTTTTTGACCTTTATCATCTGTAGAATTACCCTAAAAAATTTTATTTTTTGTATTGGAAGATATAAGTAAAGGTAGGATATCGTAGTGAATCGGTGTAGTGGAAACTTACGTTCATGACTTTTCGCAATAGCATATTACAATCATCTGTGAAAACTATAGCTTTTGGATTATTTAAGCGATATGCATACGCCGCAGTCTCGTCTTTCTCGATTGCCCATAGACTTTCGGCCACTCCTGCCTGATGTAATCCTTCAGACAATCCTATTAAATATAAAAGTTGTAAATATAATCATAGTTGTAAATAAATCATAAAGTGTGCACTATAACAAATTATGTATTTACCTCCACAACCAGCAAAAATGTCCAACGTTTTTAATTTTTTCACAGTAGGATAGTCAACTGGTTCATCAATAGTTGATTTATCTTCAACCTCTTCTTCCTTTTTCGCTTTTGATTTGCCTTTTCCCTTGCCCTTTCCCTTGCCTTTTCCAGATTTACCCATAACATTGTAAGGTGGTTCGTCAAATGTTTTTTCTTTAGCATTATAAGCTTCAGAGAAATAGAATCTATTTGGACCACGCATAGACCATTCTTCAACAGATTCACTCAGGTTTTCAGAATACGCCAGATAACATTTACCAGCAACCTCAGAAAACTTCACATTGTACACTATAATGAGATAAAAGAGAGATTAATTATTTATAGAAAAATACAGATACATTTGGAGTTATCTCAAATAAGTATCTTAAGGAGATCCTGAAGTCGTCTGTTTTATCGATTTCTTTTAAATACACTTTACTTTTTTTGGCTGTGTAGAATGAAAAATTCTCTTCTGTATTTAATTAAAGTACATATGCTAATACAGTCTGATCGATTTGAAAGGATTTTTCATTCCACACAGCAAAAAAAAAAAAATTTTACGAAAAATAGAAGGTAAAACAGATCGGTACCTGTTTTTCATTCTATACAGACAAAAAAAAGTAAATGTATTTAAAAGAAATCGGTAAAGCAGACGACTCCAGGATCCCCTTAATATTATAATGTCAATATGTAATACATCCTCTATACAGATTATTATTCAATATTGGGAACATTAAATCTAAAATGAGTGAGAAATCTATAATTATTTGATTCTTTATAATTTACCTTCATCGCTCCAATAAACCATGTTCAGATCTGCTTGTTCCATTAATGTTGAATCTCGATGAGTATTTTCCGGTCTGTACATTTTATTCACTTTAATATAAATGTTTGAAGCCAATACTATTTGATCAGTTGTGTTGGCATATATCGCGTTTATATAACCAATGTGGAAAGGCTCGGGTGTATCAAGATTCGTGCCTTTTGGTTTTGAATCCGCAGCTTTTCGATAAAATTCTGGATATATATCTTCATCCACCTCTCCTTTCTTTGGTTTTGGAGCTTGCTGATATGTCTGTACGTACTTAAATTTAAAAGTATTCCATGGGTATAAAAATACTGCGCTACCCACTCTATATTCTTCTCCTCTATATTTTACTACTCCATAAATCACTTCCTTGCTGCTCTTTTCTTCTATTCTCTCAGATATCTAAACAGACAAAAATAAATTTTCTCTTTGAAGACTTTTGTAATTCAGATACAACTTTTCCTTGAACATACCTTAGGTGTATTATATTGTTCTAATGCTCTTAGTCTGGTGCAAGCGGGACAGAATCGATGAACGATCTTTTCTTTCCATGGGCATTCTGGATCTGGCAGCGGATCCTCAAATCGAGCAGTTTCAGGAGTATATCTCATTTGATAAAAATACGTATTGTTATCTGTATCTTTTATTTCATCATCTATATCTGTATTACCTGTAGTACCAAATTATATATAAGTAAAATGTTAAGTTAATAAACTATTATCTAATTCGATTATCTAACATTCTTACCTAATTCAGACCAATTTTCAGGCTTCTTCTTATGGATAACGGTTGCTTTTGATTTAACACATGTAAATGGTATATCATCACAATCATCTGTCTGGAATAATTCTATGGGATCTGAAGTTTCGCCAAGTATGGTCTGGGTACCTCTACACAACCAATTTCCATGAAACTGTTTCATTCCATTCTTATGCTCGCACATAAATATAACTTTATAGATGTGTAAAGGATGTGCTGGATTTCTTGGCTCTACCAAAACAAAATCGTTTATTTGGATTCTTTCATTTCCAACCATAACTGATTTATAATATGTTTTTTGCTCATCAATAATTTTATCTTCTTCTTCCCATATTATTTTTTTCCTACTATATTTTTCATTGAATTCTTTCTTTAATTTCTCTTCCATTATTTCATCTTTTGACGACTCATCAAGCATTTCGTTTTCTGGATCAGAATCATCTGCCTCCTGACATTTAAAAATTTATGCAGGGTGAATCATTGAAGATGTTACAGACTAATACCTCTGAAACTGAATGAGTTTGGTATCGAAGGGAGCATTGTGTCATAAAGTTAATTTTTACGCGTGTTTATTCGCGAATGGCAATAATTTCGCGCATTTGTTTTAAAAACTTCTTTCGCAACAAAAATTGAACACTTTCTGCCTGGTTAAAAGTTAAGTTATAAAAAAATCAAGGTGTCTTGAAAAACACCTTAACAATTTTGCTTAAGAAAAATTAACTTTATCACATAATGTTTCGATACCAAACAGTCGCTGGAAAATAAGAATTTCACTTGCTCGTCCAGTTTCAGAAATATTAACCTGTAACACCTTTGGTGGTTCATCCTGTACAATATAAATACAATGATAAATATATATATACTTATAAAAGTATCAAATCCATCAATTTTTAATTTTATATACATATTTTTTTATATTATATACACGTATCTCTCACTGTACCAATAAGTGATTAATGCATATTGACATTTGTTTTTAACAATTAGGTGATACCCGAGCTGATACCTGAAAAAAAGCATAAATACCTGAATTGCCATATTTGGACATTTTCTTCTGGCGCATGCTTGTTTGCTTTTTCCACTTCCTCCGAATTTCAACATATCTTTACAAAAACTACAAGTACCACAATCAGATTGTTGACAATTTTCGCAAACACCACATCGTTGTCTTTTAGGTCCCTAACGAGAAATAAAAGAAGTGCTATAAACTATATCTTATAACTGATAAAAATACAATATAATAATACATACCATAGATGTTGTATCGTCATGCTTAACAAGTTGGTCTGTGAAAATATTTTCGAACATATTGTTAACCAATTTTGTCGTAGTGGCCTTTGTCCAGGCAGGTTTCTTAATTGTTTGCTGATCACGCCGTGTTCGACGAATAGGTTGAACCCAATTCTTTTTACCCAGTATGACATTACCAAATTTTGCAAGATCTCGCATGCAGGAAGTTGTAATGAGCGCAGCATCATCAGCATCAGCAGTATCATCAAATGATAAAACTTGATCACAAATGAATTGTGCGTAATGTAATAACTTATCTTCCGTAAACGCCTTCATATCTTTAGGAGGTACCACCGTCTATGATAAAAAATGCAAAATAATAAAAAATCTGAGAATTGAGAAAATACATTAAAATATAAGATAATTAACTAACTTGAAGTTTGTTTATTAAGTCTTCATACTTTGGATCCTCGCACTTTACAGTTTCATCTAACAAAAATTCTATAACTAATTTGCTCATATATATTTTCTCTTTAACAGCATCTATGAATGGTGCGTAAGCTTCAGATGGTTCCATCAAAATATATTCCGCAAATGCAGTATTAAAACCTATCAATGCCAATTCTCCTCCATCGAATCCAGAAATAAACCATTCAATTATTGGTCCCATATCTTTTGTTGGTACACCTTCTTCAGGCGAAGGATCCTCATCAAAAATAGGTTTCATATATCCAGAAAAATATAACTTTACATTTTTCTCAATAAGTCCTGTATCAAAAGGACACATATGTCCTTTTTTATCATAAACACTATAAATAAAAATTACAGAATTATCTTTCTATCAATTTATACAACTTTTTACACATTATTACAACAAATATTTATATAATAAATTTTAACATAATAAATATTCCAAAGAAAGTATAGATGAGAATGCAGACTCACCTAAAATATGTTAATTTATTTTGTGGTCTTACATCACTTTCATGTATGTAATCTTCATCTCCTGTGAATATGCATAATTTAGGGTCCGTTAAAGCTATTTGTTCCTCTATTGCACCATTTGGATGTCCTTGGTATAATATTGTTGCGTTCAATTTTTGATTACATACGTTGCATCGTCTGATTAGAGGTGATGCTTTTTTAGTTCGTGAGTTCAATGAAGACGAAATTTCATTATGTTTCATTTTTCTCTTTTTCTTCACATTTTCTTCTGTTTGATCTTGATTTATTTGTGGATTGTGATTTTCTTTATCAGATATTTTTATCCCACTTTCTCTATTTTCTTCAGTGTCTGTTTGAGCTTTTTGCACTATTTCTTTAGAAACAGGATTTGTTAAATTGCTTGATTCTTCAGATTCTTTCATGTCATCAAATTTTCCGCTAGAAGATATTCTTTCATTATTGGAATCTGATGTATCCTCTGCTTCACTCTCTGGTACAGGAGATATAACTCTAAAATTGTAAAAATTACATTTATATTATAAATAAGTTAAAATGACTCTTTGATATAAAATATAATAGAAATATCTATCACAAACAAATCTGTTTAACATTAAGCAACATTAAGGAACATCGCATAGAATAACCACAACTATAAAATTTATTAAAACTATAGAATTATTGATTCACATAGAATTAATGTATAAAAAACTCGCAACAGAGATTCAATATTAATAAAAAATGTATATATAATGATCTTATTAATATTAAATCTCTATTGTGAGATCTGTATACCCATGAGGATTTATTTTGTCTCGCATAAAATTCTTTATTTGGTCCCACGTACACCGATAACTATACAATTTTAAGTAATTTATTTCTTTTGCACTAACAAACCATGGTTTTTTTTACATCATATTTCTGATATATATGATTGAAAAATGTTAAGAACTTATATTTATTTCAATATATATAAATTTTTGTAATGTAAAACATTAAAAAATGTTTTTCTACATTGCAATATAGATAAAAATATTGTTACAATTATTTTTGACAATTTCTTCAATGCTTATGCATCACCTTATTCTTTACATTGTTGCATTTTTTTATAAAAAGAAGAAATGCAAAAGCTAAAAGACAATCGTGTACAACTCGAACGATTCCAAAAATTAGCTAAGGATTTTTATGAATTAAGATACTCACTTCGTGGTTGACATAGCAATCGAAGTGTTTTTCTGTTTTAAGAATGCAAGAGAACGTCAGTTGCTCGTACTTATCGTCTTAGAACGACTTTTTTGTTGAGCATCAGCTTGCGAAACAAGATGTTTCAAATGAGACAGATCATAGATAAGATCGCAGTTGATATCAGAATCAGTTGTCAGTTTAACATAAAGGTCGACACTATGCGGAGAACATGATAAACAGACACAATGAGACTTTTTGTAATCTTGTCACATATCTGTTTACTACTGTTTATAGTAAATACAGTTGAACGCAGCACTTTCACGTACTTGCTTGCGCCATTCTTCTACTTCATTCCCGCCAGTTTCGCCAATGGTCCCGATAAAAAAGAAGAAATACAGTTCGTTACACTGTACTTGACTGTACTTTTGCCGAAAATACGCGGTCAACTGTAAAACCCATTTAACCAACTCGTGTTTTGATGCGCGCAAATCTTGCTGGGGCGTATCTACAAATGTTTTATATTTTTATTTTATTATATATATCAAATAACACATAAAATTATTAACATTATATTAAATTTTACATACAAACTATTACACTCGGTATCATTAAGCTACATTCAGACAACTTGCATAGACACATATTTGCATCTTTCTCGATCATTAAACTATGCTCTTTCAATCTTGGCTAAGTTATCTACGATTTTATAAAAAAGATTTATAAGATCGTAGATCTAAAAAAGATTTATTTTGGGAGCTTTCCATCAAGGCATTTAAGGCTTAGTTTACACCGATTGTTTAGTACGCGTACCAAATACTAAATCTGCTTCTCCGATAGCTATAAATCGTTTAGTGTAAAATCTACACCAATCAAAAAAGCTGATTTAGTACTTGGTACGCGTACTAAACAATCGGTGTAAACTAAGCCTAAGTTTAGTTTAGTTTAATATGGCGTGGCTCCTAGGGGTCGCCCCTCTTGCGACCATCTGGTTCGGTGGAAGATGATATGCGCTTGCGCGATAAAAAAAGCGGTATTTTAGAACAGTGGCTTAGTTTACACCGATTGTTTAATATGCGTACCAAGTACTAAATCAGCTTCTTTGATTGGTGTAGATTTTACACTAAACGATTTATACCTATCAGAGAAGCAGATTTAGTATTTGGTACGCGTACTAAACAATCGGTGTAAACTAAGCCAGTAAGACGTAATATGATGATGCAATCTTTTGTTTTGAGATAACCTAATTTATATAGTTTATATGGTTCACTGATCACTGATATAATTTATATGGTATTGATTATTATGTGTAATGTGTAAGTGTGTTAGTGTATTTGTATGTGTATGACTGCAGTGTGTGAGCTAAAGTACGTGGGTTTGCTAAGCCCAAATGGCTGTGCGGTTCAGCCATCCTTGCGGGAAGGCATTTAGGTGACACATATCGACACGGTGTCTGGGTGCCGTCACATACAGCCCGTAATCCGTAATCCGCACCGGAAGTCCGCAAAAGTTACTAGGTATTTCGTCTGTAACTAAGGCATTAGATATGTAGGTATTCTCATCCGCCATTTTGGTTCCTACTAGATGGAGAATTATAGCGTATATAGTATAGTATAGCGTACATGTGTAACACGTCAATTATTAAAAAATGATTCAGGACTTTTTTCGACTCATTTTTTGGCAAGGAATAACGCTATGTACTTAGTGGGCAGTCTTTAAGTGTCACCTTGTATACGCTATAATTCTCCATCTAATAGGAACCAAAATGGCGGATGAGAATACCTACATATCTAGTGCCTTACCGATAGTTCTGCTCCGTAATTGGTTAACTTCAATAGCTCACTATTCAAAAACTATTGGTGTCTCGACTTTTTTGTAACAACTTTTATTATTTACTTTTATACAAGGAATCTTGTAGCGTACTCAGTGTTAGATATTTACGAAACACCCTGTATATGTAT